AGCGGCGGCGGCTCCATGGCCCAGGCGCGCTGAGGGACACGGCTCTGGCCTCAGCCCGGCGGCGGCCGAACAATGAAGCTCTTGAAGCCAACCTGGGTCAACCACAATGGTGAGTGCGCGCAGGAGTCGTGGGCGGCCGAGCCTGCATCCGGGTGGGGTCTGGAGTTGGCTTGCGGCGCGCGCAAGCCCTGCCCGCCTTGCCCAGGCGCGGGTGCCGGGTGCTGGAGCTGCAGAGCGGGCGAGAGCAGACTTTGTCCTGGGCTCCGGGATACCGGCGAGCCCCGGCACGTGCTTCGGGCTGGTTGCAGTGAAGTCCGCCTTCGCCCCAAGCAATGGCGCTGGGTCCTGCGCCGCCCACCCCTAGTCTGGAGTGCCTGGCGCCGGGCTTCTGTGAGCTGGCCTGGGCACCGGCTTGGTGCTGCCACCCGGCTTCACCGACCAAAGTGTGCTCAGATGGTTTTAGTGAGTATGAAACTGGGGCGACATCCCCCTTGTGGCCTTTCAGTGGCTCGGTGGAGATCTAGAATCTGCATGAGAGACTGACTGTACTACCGCTCTTGAGGCCTGGAGCTGGTGACAGTGCACCCACTCGGGCTATTGAGGTCCTGGGAAGGTCCTGGGAGCAGGGTCCCTTGGAGGACCACGAAGGAATCACATTTAGTGCAGGGCTGGAGAGTAACTAAGATCGGGGCCAGTAGCGTCCAGGTTGTAGGAGACGAGCGACTTTGGATGTGTGATAGTGACTTCAAAGAACGGACTCATACACCCTGGTCGAGATGGCCGGTGCAGAGCAGCATCAAGTTTTGTGGAGAACTGCTTGCTGTGCAGAGCGAAGAAGAGCTAGAGCCCTCTCCCAGCTGTTAGTACTTGAGTCTCCGGGAGCAGCCACCCTCTGCCCAAAGGGAGAAGAGTCTCCCTCATACTGTCTTGTTCATCGTTTCTACTTTGTAATGCATCTAGAGGGAGCTATAGTTTTTTTTTTCTTCTTTTTCTTTTCTTTTTTTTCTGTAAAGCAAGACAAGTAGATGCATTTTTCTTTTTGAAAATCCACGTGGCCTTTTCATTTAGTATTTGGTCCGGGAAGCTTTTTACTGCTACAGCTAAACATCCTTTTTTTGGGTCACAAGCAAAAATGTGAATATGAATTTTTTTTAATTAAAAATATTTAAGCGAGCCGGGCGGCAGCGGTGGCACACGCCTTTAATCCCAGCACTCGAGAGGCAGAGACAGGCGGATCTCTGTGAGTGTGAGTTCGAGGCCAGCCTGGTCTACAGAGTGAAACCAGGACAGGCACCAAAACTGTACAGAGAAACCCTGTCTCGAAAAAACAAAAGAAAATTTAAGTGATAATGTTTATTAATGATAAAAGATGTTGAAACTTAAGCAAATTTCTTTTTAAATCTAAAGGCAGCCTCCCTCCCTCTCTAAATTGTCTCTGTCTTGGAGAGGATGCTGTCTTGAGTCACCACAGATGGCAGTGGGTAGTGGAAGTTGCTTGCTAGCCAGGCCTGAATGGTAGAGCTAATAGAAGCAAGTTTCCTTTGGGTGAATGGGCTGCCCCACTGCATTGGAGGGGATGCATGGTTGTACTTCCTGGCTTTCTCACTCAGCAGTTGTGTTTCCTGTCTCCTTATACAGCATGCACATACTTTCTGGGGTCTGAAAGTTCAGAGAGGGGAGGAAAAGAGCTAAAGGTTTCCTCAGAGTTGGCAGGGGACCCATTTAGATAAGGTAGCTAGAAGACTAGAAGAGGTTAAAGGCAGAGAGAGAAGTGTTTGCTGGTCTTCATTTCTCTAGCCCAGTACTAGAGAAACCTCTCACATAGAATTTCTCAGCCCCGGCACAATTGACATTTTCAGTCACACAGCTGTTTTAGGGGCTGTCCTGTGTATTTTGTGATCTTTACTTAGGTGTCAGCAGCGCCTACCATCATAACTGCCCACATACCTCAACCAAAAATGTCTGTGACATTACTGAAGTCCACTTGTTAACCTAAATCCCCTCCATTTGAGATGTTCTGGTCTATGGTTATCAGCATGTTAGTACGTCTGACATCGTCATTTTGCACTGAACTTTGCCTTGGATGTGGATTTAGACTGAATTCAAGATAACATCATTTACTAGTTAAGGATTCTTCGCCTTACTAATTATAGGCCTTGGTGAAATCATGTAAAAAGACATATTTCTTCTCCTTGTACTCAATGTAAATGATTGTCCCTAAAGTATGATACAAAATAAAAATTAGTATCTGTTATTTATGTTGATGTTATATGCAGTACACTTACACACATACAGTTTTGAGATGTAATCTTGTTGACTATATTTTACTTATTTGTTTATTTTTTGAGATAAGGTAGCCCTGGCTGTCCTAGAACCCAGAGATCCTCCTGCCTCTGCCTTTCAAGTGCTGAAATTAAGGGCATGCACTATCATACTTGGCCATATAGTTTACTTTAATCATGGCCCAAATAAGTTTCATTTCTGAGTAAGGTTAAGATTATGTATGGGTGCTAGTTGTGGCACACACCTATAATTATAGCTTATCAGGGAGGCTGAGGCAGAAAGAGTGAGTTAAAGAAGGGCTTATCTCCAAGTATGAGTGCACTATGTAGATGAGTTGTTCAGGAGACAGAATGCTGAAGAAGGTAAGCTGAGGAAGGAAAGGAGGAGATAAGGAGATGTGGTTGGGGGATGGGTGGAGTCATGACTTTCTTTTTTGAGTTTGAGGGGAGCGTTGAGGTTTCTAGGTTTGGACACCTAGCCTGTGTCTTCGGAAGTCCTTGTAGGACTTAGAAGGTGGTCTCCAGATCTTGGTAAGATGTGCTGAGAGGGAGGAAAGGTCGGGGTGACGAGATGAGAAAGATGGGAGGCACTATGGAATCAGGAAGAGTTAATGGGGCTTAGCCGTTACATGCATATGGTATAGACACATGCCATTTTTTGAGTTCATTTCTTAAGTGTTCTGGAGAAAGACTGCAGATAAAAGAGATGGGCAGTGGTGTTTTCGTTTGTGTGGGTGTGTGGTGTATGTGCACATGTATGTGCAAGTGCATGTGCTGTCACACGTTTGGAGGCTAGGAGAGGGTGTCAAGTGCCCTGCTTTCTCACCACTCTGTTGCGGTGTCTCTCACCGAGTCTAGAGCTACTCTGGCAACGGGAAATTCCAGTGATTACCCTTCTTGCCCACCTCCCCCAAGATGGAGTTACAGATGGATGGACATTTCTGGATTTTGTGTAGGTACTGGGGATTTGAACTCAGGTCCTCATGATTGTGTGGCAAGCTCTTCTTACTCACTGAGCCATTTCCTGAGGCCCCTGTGGAATTCACTCAGACACTTATGTATTTGCTTGTTTGCTTATTATTTGTTGTTTGTGAGTGTACGCATGCACATGTGTGCCAGAGATCAGTGTTGAGTTTCTTCTGTTGCCCTCTCCCTTTGGAGACAGTGCTTCTTACTGCACTGGAGCTCGTCCTTTGGGCTTAGACTGACTAGCCAGTGCCTCCCAAGTGCTGGGATTACTGGTGTGGGGTGACACTGGCTTTTTATGTAGGTACCAGTGGCAAAATTCAGCCATCCCTCTGCCCCCAGCCCCTTAACATTTATTGAGATCTATTAGGTGTACATGGTGGTTCTTGACTGTAAACCCAGCATTCAGGAAGCAGGAGGATTGCAGTGAGTTTGAGGCCAGCCTGGGCTCTAGATTGAGATCCTTTCTGTCATACACACACACACACACACACACACACACACACACACACACACACACAGTGTGTATTTTTTGTTTTAGAAATTTTAATCTATTAAGTGGCTGAAAATAAACTTTAAACTTTATAAGGAGATTCATAGTTAGACATCTGGGAGGCACACCTGGGCAGTCCCTGCTCTGACCAGTGAAGCCAAATGGGGGCCCTGGTGTTACTGTCCCAATCTTGAGTCTTATGGGTGTCCATGGAAAGGATACGTACTGTGTCTGCCTTGACCCCACGATTTACCTAAATGTTGCTAGTGTAACTAATTACTTTCAGAGGCCTAGCAAATGACACAGATCTGGACTAAGGCCTGGGGTCTAAAAATTGATGCAAACACATTTTATGTTCTTGCCAAGATCAGCAACATCACCCAGAGGACTGGGTGGGGTTGTTAAATAGTGGGAAGGGGTACTGCTCATCCTCCGGGTTGCCTGCCCTCTTCTTTGCTAGCAGAATCC